CCAAAAGCTTGACGGTTCTGACCGGCTTGTTATAGATAGAAACAGGAGAAATTGAATGAATGAATGCCCAGATCCTGTATCAAATAAAACCACACATGAAGAGAATCAGGTCGACCTTATTCCATGCGGCGAGCCCCAGCCTCCCGTCGGCAGTCCAGTCTTGCCAGCGTTCTCGCATTAACCACCTTTTATCGCGAGACTTCGCAGCGCGTCTCACGCCAAAGCTTCAACCACCATCCCTAGTTTGGGATTCAGTTTTTCAACTCTTCCGTGGACTCTGTAGTGTAATCGCGCCGTGGTCTGCCCTCAAAGGTGACGTCAAGGTTTATTGGCCTCTCGATATAGTATTTCCGTCACAGGCATGCCACTGCGATGGGTCTCCTGAGCGAATCGAGTCAACATGGGACTCTCTTCGACCCGACGCGGTAGGGCTCCCAGGGTAGGCATTGCAGTCGCTCGTTCGGATGCTCTAATTGTAGGACGGACAGCATAAGTTAACAGATCTGGATCAAGGACACGATGGAACACCTACCCTGCTAATCCTAAATGGCAGGTTGCAGCATCGAAGCCTCCACGATTCAACAGTGCTTTCCTTGAGTCGTCTTTCCCAGTTTCAACGTCCATGGATGAGGGGAAGTTGGTGGCCATTGGCAGAACAAGCTGGGAAAGAAGACAGGGAGAAGGTAAACACGGTGCAACAAAAGGGCAGAACAAGCAGGTTGGGTTTTGTAAAAGGGCCCATCTACTGCAAGAAACATGCTCCAGTCCATGACAGAAGGGGCCGGGAGGCGGGCATTTTATATCTATCGATATACGTCCTGGCTCAACAGCTCCAGGTAGTTCTGCGCGTCACTTAAAGCGCCGTATACTCAGCTGGCACACAGCAGCGAGGTAATATGGTGCATGGTGGTAACTATCAGCGGCAACATTGCCAGACCGCAAGCACACACACACTCTACGCTAATCACTGCAACATCCTTGCACTTGGCCCAAGGATGGCAGCGGCAGACCGAAAGGAAGTCCCGCGTGCGGATCCGACGAGAGCAGCAAGCGACCATGCCAAGGTACAAGCAAGAAGCAACCTGCCTGCCACCCCTGTGGGAGAAGATCCTAAGAGGCACCGAGCTGGTCAGAGGCCTTGCCCATCGCACGGGAGAACTACTATTTACCCAGGCGTATATCTCTATTTGCCCACGCCCGCCTATATAAACCAGGGCTCCATACAGTCATAGCCACACGACTTACATCCGCTATCGCAGGCTACCTATAGCAACCCAGGGGGCAGCAACCCAGCGGGCTAGCAGGCTAGCGGGCCAGCGCAATTAAAGCCATCGCGGCCATCCGGCTGCGGCAGCAATTGAAGGCAGCGCGGGCTGCTGGGCTGCGGGGCTGCTGGGCTGCTGGGCTACTGGGCTACTGGGCTACTGGGCTACTGGGCTACTGGGCTACTGGGCTNCTACTGGGCTACTGGGCTACTGGGCTACTGGGCTACTGGGCTACTGGGCTACTGGGCTACTGGGCTACTGGGCTACTGGGCTACTGGGCTACTGGGCTGCTGGGCTGCTGGGCTGCGCGGGCAATTGAATGCATCGCGGGCTGCGCGGTTATTGCAGCAATTGAAGGCAGCGCGGGCTGCTAGGCTACTAGGCTGCGGCGGCCCGGCGGTGGGCTTGTATACCGTGCGCGGCGTGGGCAAATAGAGATATGCGCGTGGGCAAATAGTAGTTCTCTCGGACGGGGGGGAGATGGTTGGGCATCCGCACTGCGCTGGTACAGGCAAGCGACATGCTCAGCGGCGGAACTTTCTCCGTTGGCCGCGCACTGCCGAATCAAAGCTTCAATGTGGCATCAGGTTATGTCTGGAGCAACGGAGACACTCCGAGCATGGCAGGCGATGTAAGGCTGGACCACGCCCTTCGACAGACGCCCGTGTTTTGGAGACAGCACTCACTTGCATGGGACGGGGCATCTATCCGAATGTTGTGCTTGCCCCAGCCCTGGCCTCGTTCGATGTCACTCAGACGCAGGAGTGCATGTGTGTGGCCAGCCAAGAAATATAAACAATGTGCAGAAACGACAACTGGAAAGGAAAATTCTGCAGTCAGACCCCCAACCAGTCCCGAGACTCTGAATTCGCTATAGCATGAACCGGCATCGTCTGGAGCGTGTCGATGGCTTTTGCTTGGCCCAGAGTGCTCCGTGAGTCTATGCTTGCAGGAGCGAAGGACCAATAGATCTCTCGAGTTCTCAACGAACCCGGGAAGCCTGGGACGCTAGAATCGACTCGCAGCCAAGGACACGTCTCCTGGTGCGAGCCGCCGTTAGGGATATGAGAGGTCTGGGAGAGGTGGGCAGGCTCGATGGAGGTGCGGCACGCGAACAAAGAGCCACGCCAACGCCGCAGCTACGGAGCCTGCGACCGAACGCCCGTCATCAGCGTCATCACTGAATCTCAATCAGTCACTGACCACATGGAAAGTCGTGATCGAATCACTTATTGAATGATATCGTGGCTCCTGTAGCTGAAGAGAGGTACGATGTGGCTGACATCCCTTTTCTCGCCAGTCGGATTTTCTCGACCATGGTGCGCGGGAGCGCGACCTGCCAGAGTCACGTCAACACCGCACAAGCCCTGCAGTCACCATATCAAGTCATGCAAAGTTGCCGATCCCACTCAAGCTCCCAGCTCCCAGCTCCCAGCTCCCAGCTCCCAGCTCCCAGCTCCCAGCTCCCAGCTCCCAGCTCCCAGCTCCCAGCTCCCAGCTCCCAGCTCCCTAGCGTCGGGCCGGGCTCTAGTGAGTGCCATGCCGGTCTCCCCTTTTGTCAACTTGTGCGTATGGACTGATTAACTCCGGCCTCCACCCTCACTTGACTGCATGTTCAAAGCCAGCTCGAAATCCTCGGCCAGCACACACTATTCACTACCATTCCTGCAGCAAGGTTATGACATCGTCTTGGCACGCCGTTCTGGCGGATCAACCTCGTTGGGTAGGCATCTCACTGCCATCGAACGCTCAAGTAACTCGGCTCTGCGAGAACGACGGAAGGGCGAGATATGCGCGGGAAAGCCCTACCGCAAAACGCCACTGCAGCAGGGGCCAGGCAGTGCAGAGGGGGGGGNAACGGCGGCGATGGTGGGGGAATGAAAGGGGGTTTTCCGGACATCGTAGTCGTGGATCCTGGGTGGCTAGAGACCGCGCATAATTGAGCAAAGCGGCGATGAGATTTATGTGGCTACGAGGAAATCTGGGGCGAGTGAGAGATCATGTCGTGGGCGTGTCGTACCGTCACGAAGTTTGCGGCTCTATGGGAAGCCGACTCGGCCGAGATCGATGTTCAAGGTTGTTTTTTTGCGGAAGGCGGGCCGCGGCCTATCTGGGTGCGGGCCGCTATAGAGCCGCAAATGGGGGTCCAATAACGACCATCCCTGTGCATATTGCTTCCATTACCGCCACGCTACAAGTCACAACAGCCAAAGAACAGTTCAAGTTGCTTGATGTGTCTCTTGTCCCAATTAGGGCGCTGCCGGTAATGCCCGGGTCTAACCGCGTGGCGCGCATGCCACGCCTGAACTATCCATGTCCCGCTGGCCAACAGCACGCTCTGGAGTCTGGACCGAATTACGTCTTGCTGAGCGAGTTCGGTAGTTGGCGGCGGACCAGCTCCAGGCCGCGGGTGATGCGACCGGAAATGAAAGGCAGCTCATGTCTGATGTGGGCTCGATGTAGGGCTGGATTGGCGACCAGAGTTGGACCACAAGGGAGTGCGTTACCGCTAGGTACGCCGCGACATTGGTGGACAAGTTTTGGGCATTTGGATGGGACACAGATAGGTGTGTGGGACACACCAGACGTAGCCGTGTGTGACACAGGTAGGCGATTCGGGCATAGGTGGGACGATATGGCCACGGGTGGGCATGTGGCAGTGGTCCATCTTCGTGCAAGCTCCAGGTACCAGTATATAGCCCAGTTCCATCTTGGGGAGGGGGGTGTTCCGCAGACGGGTAGACCTGGATCCGTGGGCAAGGGGTTCATGTTTGCTTAGCTCCATGCCGCGTTTCGGGCAGCACGGGCAAGCAGGAACAACAGGATTCTGTGTTGCAGTCCAGCTGGGATCACAGAGATCGGCAATTGCGCACGCACATGGCCGCACAGGCACTACAGAACATTGGGCTGGACTCAACGGGCTGCGGGGGAGGAACGAGGGGCCCAAACTATTCGTGGAGGGACACGACTTACAAGGCCCAGCAAAAAAAGCCACTGGCCAGAAGCATGTCCGCGTGGGAGTCGTTGCTTTTCTTGCTCCCCGGTGGAATTGACTGATCAAGATGCGACTCGCCAAAGAGATGCAGCCTCGTTGTTAGGTACGCGGTGCGAGGAGCGCGGCCCAGGGCCCGGGAAACCCTTACCAGGGTCCATCCAGTCGCAGCTCCCTGTGCTCGCCACACTTCCCAGCGACATGGTGACGGGCAAATCGACAGTCGCTGGGACGAGCCCTCCAGCAGTTCTTGTTCTGGCAGGGGTGCCCTGCACCCTGTCACGACTCGATAAGCGAAATAAATGACGTGTTGTGCGAGGTGGTTTTTTTTTTTTTTTTTGGCGCTGCAAAGTGAAGCCATGCAATATGTAAGTCTTCCAGAAGAAATTTGATGAAGAGCGCCATCGGTGCGCGAACCGCGTCGCCAACCACCCTGCCTCTACGTCTAACTGTCTAGTGCCTTCTTTCCGAACCCGTTCTCTGCAGGAGTGAGTCCAACTTGTACCAGTGCGAGGTAATCACCGTGGTCACTGGTCACATCCCCCCCTCCAGTCTCGACGTTGAGCGCGAGATCCCCTTTCCTGACAGCCGTAAGACGCCACACCATGCCATGTGTAGTGGCATCAAGTCTCCTTCCGTATCCGAGCGTACATAGCCTGTAAGAGCCTGCTGTAATACAATGGTATTCTTCCAAGTGAGGTGTCGCGCAAGTTGAATTGCGACTTGCCTCGTATTGTGCTCCATCACTGTCGCCGGAAATGATCCGTTGCGGCGAGTTGCTGTTCAGCGCGGGCGTAGTCTCGATAGATCTTCTCCCCTAGAGGAATCTCGTCGGATCGGGTTTCCTTCAGGTATCGACCCAGCATGAAGGGCAGCTCGCCAGATATATTGGGGACATGGTTCCGTGCCCTAATCACGATCTCGAATCAGCAGATACCTCGAGCCAAGGCATATGGGAAACGTACGTCCAGGAAGGGTGCCCTGGAATTGCAGCATTCGAGTCCCCGTGGTTCGAGGGCGGTCGCGTTGGGCCAGCGCTTCCGGCTTCGACGTTCAAGGATGACGACGATCTCGCGGCCATCGCAAAGGGACTACGGATTTGACAAACCTGATCGAGACGTGATGCAATGTCGAGTGGCAGAAGTAGGTCAAGGCGGCGTCACTGACACAAGAATCACCGGGCCTCGACATCAAAGGCTCCATGGCCGGCGTTTTTATACCTGGCCATGGAGAACTACTCCAGTGGAGGCTGTCCCTGAAAGCAATGCGCCTTGCCAGCCGTCTCGACCCAACGCCCAGCATATTCCAACGACAGGGGGATGATCTCGCAGTTGAAGCGCTGGCAGCTTGCTGCCTGTGTGCTGGTCGTGGACGCCACAAACCTCATCTATACCGGCTCTGCGCGTACTCGCAGTGGCTTATTCTTGATGGCCGGCGCTGCGCCATTGGATAGTCGCGCGGCAGGTAGCCCGCGGCAGAAGGCAATCCCACGGACAGTCCCAGACAGCACACCGGTGCCTCAAGGGCGCAAGCAGATTGCCAAGGCGTCTGGCCTGTCTCATCGGACGCATCGCGCCGCCGGCGCGACCTTCCGGGGAGGCCGGCGCGTTGCATGCAATGGAGTCCAAGCTCGGCCAAAGGTCAGGAGCATCGTCGCGTGGTGGGCGGGCTCCAAAAGGCGACAGTCACGGATGCATGCATGGCAGGCTAGGGCTGATGCGATTCTGGCCACCAGCGACGATCATCCATGGATCGCAGCCGCGGCACCGTGGTACATCAGACCCAGACGCTGGGGAGCAGGTCTCAGGCTCTCAGCACTCTGAGGCACGACTGACTGACTGCCCGAGACTTCGATCGCGACAGGCGATCTCAGCATCCGGCTCAGCGAATCGCCAAAGTATTACCTTTGTACTGAATGAGAGACCTCCATGCCAGACAACCATGAAAAGCAACGCCTACAACTAGCACTCGTGTGCGCGACCGGGATCCTGGAAGACAGCCGGCACGTCAACCCTTCTGGGGCCATGCACCCGGTAGGGCGAGCACCGTCCGCCGTCCAATGTCCACTTGGCAGGCAGGACCCGGAGCCGACAAAGGGTCGGCAAGCAGGGTGGCGCAGGATGGGGACCACCCCTGAGGCTTCCCGGTGGCCAGTGATCTTTGCCATAACACGATCCTCATGTCAGTGGCATGCGATCCGCCGTCAGCGTTTTGGCTGCTGCTGCCCTGCAAAGCACACGCGCTGAACCCTGCTCGGTGATGGTGCTTTTGCGAAATACGAAGTCGCGGCCTTGAGCGCTCTGGCTCTTCACACAAGCCCTTTCAGGTACCCGTATGCAGAGTGCCTTTGTGTCTTGGGGCGGGTGCAGGTTGTCCTGAGTCCTGACAAAGGTCTCACTCTCCACGACACCGCGAGGCACCGATTGAGGCAGACCTACCTCAATGCTGTATCCTGCGACTGACTGAGGCAGGCTTGCCTCACTCTGTCGCTGCTTTTCCTGCGACCATCAGCCTCACTTACCCTGGTACCTCGGGGAAGATGGTATGTGCATGTGCACCACCCGGCTGAGCGGTCTCCATAATCCGACTGTGTCCCGCTTCCGCCTCGTCTGTGCCAAGGTCCCCTGCCAGCTTGGGAGGGAAAGGAGCCGGTTTTCCCCAGTGGCAGTCGCGTATGGCCTCGTGTTTGCCGGCCATCATGGGCAATGGCTCCCAGTCATCCAGAGCAGAGTTGTTCATGGCGGTCCAGGGTTCTGCTGTCCAGCCCTGTGCGGGCACGAGTCGCTCCTCCAAGCCTGCGTAGGCACGAGTCGCTCCCTGCAAGGCCGGATCTCGCACGTAGCGTTGGTGCTGTTAACGACCACACTGTCGGAGATTCCCCAGCCGCGCGGATGCAACCCCCAGTCCCCCGGGCACGCTTGTCAGTTTCTTGGTCGACATGCCACCGTGGGACTCGCTCGAGGACAGCGGGTCGACGGCCGGGGTATTTTAGCCCAGGCCTGGACACGTCCACGGATTGGGAGGGTGCAAGAGAGTGGATTTTGCGCCATGAGTGCCGTTCGGCAGGCCTTCCTTGTCATCGCATGCCCATCGATACAGTTTGATCAGCCCAGGTGATGCCTCGCCGATGCGGCCCGCACGACTCGTGGCACACGGCTTCTAGTCCCCGAAGCCGCCTGCTTCTTCGGCCGCTTTGCTTTTTCCGCGGTCGGAGAGCTTCGACAACGTCGTGGACGATGATGAGCCAATAAGCGGGTGCAGACATGCAGGCGTTGGAGGCAAAGTAATGGTCGATGGTAGCCAATACGGTAGCAAAGGGGGTAGGTAAGTCATGGTGCAGCAGAAGTAAGGGTGCGAGTGGTGGTCAAGTGATGGTCGAGTGCTGGGCAACTACTGGGCAACTACTGGGTAAGTGCTGGTCAGGTGCTGGGTAAGTGCTGTGTAAGTGCTGGTCAAGTGCTGGTCGAGTGCTGGTCGAGTGCTGGTCGAGTGCTGGTCGAGTGCTGGAGCTATAATAACGGGCACAACCTAGAAAACCAGGGACGGCGGGGTTGGGATTGAGGTTAGGCGGCAGGTACACCGGAATCGGGAAGGAACCAACCTCGGCTTAAACTGGTGCACTTGCCAAGGCGGCCGGCGTCACCGTCAAATCGCTAGCATGAAGCTATTCCAGGTACCAAAGGTGACGCCGCTCTGGTGTGGACCATGGCATGAGAGCCAGAGTGCTGTCGACTGTACCGTGCTCTGTCGTGGCCGCTGGTCAAGAGCGACGGCCAGCTCCCTCCCCGTCTCTGCCCGTTTGTTCCCAAGTCCCTCGCGATGCTAATTGCACCATCCTTCACGAAACAAAGCAGATACTACATACGTACTGCTAGGGGTTTTGCCTGTGTACACCGATACCTTGTCCGCCCGCCAAGACAAGGCCCAATTACAGTCATATTGGCACAAAGGTCGATGGCAATGCGGCCTACTGCCGGCACTTGTGGCAAGTGATGGAAGTATGGCGCGCCGAATTCATTATTCAGGCGGCCGAAGAGAAGCCATAGGCAACATCTGGCCACTTTACCCAGCCAAAATTTCGTCTCAAGTGCTGCATCATTTGTTGCGGTGGCGGCCAGCTGGCGGCGTGGCCGTTGGCAGCTGATGGGCGCCGTAGTTGGCGTGGTGATCGGACGGGCAGGCAGCACCTGTTGCTCCTGCCCAATGCACTGGCAGCCGTTGCGCGGGCGCTGAACAGAACAGAGCAGCAAAGACCTCAATCACCGCGCCCGCACGTCGTACTTCAATTTTGCACTCCTTCTCCGACCCTTTTTCGTTTCGCATTCTTTCCTTCACCTACCGCTCGTGTTCCACCTTGCCCTCGTGAGGCCATCCGTATTCACGGCTTACACGCCGCGCGCGCCGCCGCAACATCAAGGAGAATGCTCGACCCGGTCCAGGATGGCGGGGACGCGAGCCTCACCAACCGTCAAATAAGCATTCTCATTGCCATCGAGCGAACCGGCGCCGGCTTCTCCATGGCCGCCATCGTCATCACGCTCGTCACGTTTGTCTGCTTCAAGAAGATGCGCACCATGCCCAACCTGTTCCTCGTCTTCGCATCGTTGGCCAACGCCGGCGCCAGCATCGCATCCATGATCGGATACGACGGCCTGATCCGAGGCGAGAACTCGTCGCTGTGTCAAGCGCAAGCCTTCCTTATGCAGTGGTACGTCGGCCCTCCCCGTGAGGCTGCCTCGCACGCATCCTTGCTAACGGTCCATGCTTGGTGCAGGTTCATGCAGTCGGATCCTTGGTGGTCCTTTGCGATGGCAGTCAACGTTTATCTCGTCTTCTTCCACAACGCGGACCCGTCTTCCTTCCGAAAGTATCTCTGGGTATACTGCCTCGTGTGTTTCGGGGGCCCGATGGTGCCCGCCATTATCCTGATTTCGATTCGCGACGATGTTCGCGGGCCTATATTCGGTGATGCCGTGGTGAGTACTTCCCTCGACATGGTGAGCCCGTCTTCTAACTCGCGTCAGCTGTGGTGTTGGATCGGCCCTGAATGGACTCTCCTGCGGCTCTACGCATACTACATTCCCATCTGGATGTGCATCCTTCTGTCGGCTGTTGCCTACTCTGCCGTCGGATACCGCGTCTTTCGCCATCGCAACAAACTGATGAGCTTGGGCTTAGAAAGGCTTGAACAGCCACGGAAACCTTCGCGGTCAGGAAGCGACGGGGACTCGGCAGAAGAGGCGCGATGCCCAACCCCTCTGCTCCCAAGTTCCGCGGCTGACGGTTTCCCACAGAGTCTCACGCGTCACCGAGACGCCTACGGAATCGTCGTGACCGAAGTTTATGTAACTACCGGAACTACGACATCTCAGCACGACCCGCCTCTGATCCCGTCGGCAACGTATCATCCCGCCGGCGTCACTGATTATACCTTTGACCCATTCTGGAGCGTGTTGCTGCCTCGAGACGCGCCCGGCTCCCGAGACGGCCAGACACAGCACCAATTCGAAACTGTTTGCACATCGAATCATCGCCGACAACAGCGCGCCACAGTACTCGAAAAGTTCCATGGCATTCTGTCACGGGCGTCGCTCAAGCTCAAGCGGCTTGATCCAGTCAAGATGGCATACCTGCGCACCAGTTTCGTCTTTGCGTTTGCCGTGTTGATCACATGGATCCCCAGCTCCATCAATCGGCTGTACAGCATCACACACAATGGCAAGATCAGCTTCCCCCTCAGCGTCGCCAGCGGGTGCGTGCTGCCTCTACAAGGTGTATGGAACGCCATCATTTATCTCACGACGAGCTAGGGCATCGTCCGTGAGGAGGTCAAGGCTTTCATGTCCAGAAGGGGCTGGAAGGGCCATGATGCGTTCGGATCGTCGAGGCGGCTCGGCAGCCGCGTGGACATGCCGGTGGAGCATCGGGATAAGTTTAAGAGACGTCCGGGCCCGATGTCACTGGCTAGGACGGACGGACGCGAGTTGGACAACCTGGCGGTCCCGAAGCGGGTGCTTCAGCGAAGCGACTCAGTTAGATACTCGATCTGACTTGTTGAAGCGTACAGCACGGGCGGCCACTTGGGTCGGTGCTAAAGATACCAGGAGAACGCCAAGTTGGGGCAATGCTTTGATGTGTGGGATAGCGAAGCAACAGGACTATGGTGGAATTGACATGTCGGGCTGCATTTATCTGGAGCAGTGTCACGGAGCTCGACATCACAAGCGGTATGTGGCGTGCGAGTCTGCCCGGCTATTGAACGGGGCATGTCAGGGTACATTTGGAAGCGTCGATTGATTCGTCTGGATTGTGTGAGCTACCTACGACGAATGAATGGCCTCGCCCTCGCTCGTGTCGATGCCATCGCGCACCGCCTTTGTGACAGCAGCCTCGACCTCCTGGTCACCGTCGAGCAGGTCGAGCCACGAGTTCTTGACCCCATCGGCAGCGAGCAGGGCATCGGCCGTCTGGGCGACCGACTCCCTGCTGACCTGGCCGTTGAGGCGGGCCGTCTTGCCGAACTCGATGCGGCCGGCGGGATCCATGGAGAGGGTACCCGGGCGCAGGCAGAGGCCGATCATCTTGCCGCCGGAGCGGCGGGAGGCCTCGTAGAGGGCCTCGTCGGCGGCGAGCTTTGCCTGGTAGTAGGCGGCGAGGAAGCCGTGGTTGACCGTCGAGTTGTACTTGTCCCACTCGCCGGCGGGCCACCACGAGGCGCCGGCGCGGCGGGAGCCCGAGTAGGAGACGAGGAGGAAGCGCTTGACGAAGGAGGAGGCGGCGGCGGCGTTGATGAAGTGGATGGCGGCGTCGCGGTCGATCTTGTAGGTCTGGGGGGAGTGAGTGTCAGTGAGCGCATTCTTACAGCAGCGGGTGTGGCCGATTGGAGGTGAGCGGGGGCATGGTCAAGATGAGTGTGGATTTGTTCGCGCGCGCGCGCACGAGAGAGCAGGATGGTTACCATTGCATCGCCGCCCTTGCCGCCGGCACCTGTACATCTCAAGTGTCAGTGATTCATTCATGTGCCGAACCCAGGGCCCAGCCTCATCAATCACACGGGTGTTATGCGCTGGCTGGCTGCTGGAGATGTTTGGACGTTGTCTTACCGGCACTCCAGGCGACGTAGTCGGGCTTCACCTCGTCCAGGATGGAGCGGGCGCGGGCGTCGCTGTCGACGTCGGCGATGCTGCGGACCAGGACGTTGAGCTTGCCAGGGAGGCCGGCGCCGAGCTGCTCAATGGTCGGGGCCTGCTCCTGGGTGCGGATGACGCTGGTGACGGTCCAGGAGCGCTTGAGGAGCAGCGGGGTGAGCATCTGGGCGATCTTGCCGTGGCCGCCGAGGACGAGGACGTGGTGGGAGCCGGCCATTTTGTCTGCGTTTTTTTGCTTGTTCGTCTGCTTCTTCTCTCTTCTTCTGCTATTGCTTCAAGTGTGTCGATGGAGGCCCAATGAGTCGGGAGTCGGGAGTCGTCGATTGATCGCGTGTGCTTCTGTGAGATGAGAAAGAATTGTTGGGCTCAATTGCAAGTCGTCGCGAAGAGAAGCAATGGGCATGTCGGCCTGCAGCATGACGACATGCTTTAAAACGGGGGATCGGAGGTCAGGCATCCCACCCGCACGGCATTGATGGCCGCGCGCGGGGCGGCGTCCGTACCCCTCGACTGGGTCGCGTCGGCTATGGCGTGCTGTATAATCCATTTTCAAGACTTAGAGTTTGGCGTCGCATCCGGGCATTGCTGAAGCTTCCATGCTTGGAAAACGGGGCGCAACGCGAATCTCGGGCCTCGCCCGGCTGGCCAATTGGCGAACCCTGCATCCCAAGCCTTGGCTGTGGCAAGGTACCATTTCGGAGCTGCCAACCGTCGTGCCGAAAGTTTCGGGTTTCGGGGCATCGTTGGGATGGCGATTCAAGCTTTTGGAGCAGGGCGGGTTGGATTGACGGTCAGCGACTCAGCGGTTCGTTGACTTTCAGTTGCACCTGGTACCCGGCACGGGGCTCATGCGGCGCCTGCGGGGCACCCTTGCGGGTAGGCGATCGACGGTGGAAGCTTCCAAGGTTTCCAGCCACGGCGCTGGAAGCTCCATCGATCTCCGTCCCTAGGCGGGCGGTGGAAAGGCCGCTGCAGTCCGTCGCAGGTACCCACAGTCAGCGGAGCTGCTGCTATAACGTCGTTAGCACGGCGACAGCTGAACCCGGTATAGGCGATGAGGAGCGCTGGAGCTCCTCCCCTGCCTTGCCCCGCCGTCGGCCATGAGCGATGGATGAGGGGCTGCTGACCTTAGGTAATCGCTGCTGACTGGCTGAATACTCGCCCCCGTTTGGGCGTCCGCTGACATGAAAGTCTCACCAAGCTTCCTCACCTTTAAGACCGCTCGCCTTGTTGAAGTTGAGCTCGCGGCCGGCCGTTGTGGCATGTCCACTGCCGCATGAACTCGCGCGTCATGAACCGGCTCTCGGTCTGCATCGTAGGTGAGTGGCAATCTCTCGAGAGCCTGCCCTTGTAGATGCCCCAGCAGTTGAGCTAACCAACTTACGCGCAGGCGCCGGGCCCTCTGGCCTCGTCGCGGCCAAGACGCTCCTCCACAACGCGCCCAAGGGCGCCTTCCAGGTCAGCGTCTTCGACGCCCAAGATGGCATCGGCGGGCTATGGCCCACGTCCAAGACGGACACGGGCCGGCTGGTCCATCCGCTCATGGTGGCCAACCAGAGCCGCCACACCATGCACTTCAGCGACCTTGCCTGGGATGCCGCCGCGCCCCAGCTCCCGCGTGCGTGGCAGGTCGGCAAGTACCTCGAGCGCTACCTGGACCGCTATCTCACTGGCCACCCGGACTTTGAGTTGCGCTTGGGCACCCGCGTCGTGCGGGCCGACCCGATGCAGGATGGCCGCGCGGGGTGGCAGGTGCTGCTCAGGGGCCCCGACGGGACCGAGGAGACGCGCACCTTTCAGAGGCTCATAGTCGCCTCGGGCTACTTTGGCAAGCCCATCATCCCGGACAGCCTCGCCGAGCCTGTCGCGGTCCCAGTTGTGCCGAGCAGCCAGTATCGGGACCTGAAGAGCCTGCTTGGTGACAAACCTCGCAACAGCGGCAAGAAGATCTTGGTCGTCGGCGGTCAGATGTCGGGTGTGGAGATTGCTGGCACCATTGCGTCTCATCTTTCCTCTGCCGCGAACTCGCCTGACCCCTGTGGCATTCCCGACATTGAGCAGTACTCTGTCCACCACGTCGTGCAGAGGCCCATCTGGGTGTTCCCCTTGTATACGACCCCCGAGGTTCGTTCCGTCGCTCTGATGATGCCTCCGGCTGCCCCGCTAACTCGCGATAGCCTACCGCCGCTGCAGCCCCCTTTCTTCCCCTCGACTTCTCATCGTACAACCGCAATAACCGACCACAGCCACTTGTCAACACCCAAGGACACATCAGCCCTGACACGGCCAAGGTCGTTCACGGCATCTACGAGAAAGCGCTTGGAAGCAACCAGGCCGCCTTCTCCCCGCTATTGCGAGTCGACGACGACACCAAGACGGAACCGCCGTACCTGGCCGTCAGCGACTGGTACTGCGACTTTGTGCGGTCCGGCTTAATAACCCTTTCAAAGGGCAAGGTCGAGGCACTCGACGGCAACACGGCCGTGTTGTCGAATGGCGCGGGCCGCATCGACGATATCGCCGCCGTAGTTGTCGCGACGGGTTTTGACCCCTCTCCGTGTCTGGATTTCTTTCCCAAGGACATTCTGGACAAGCTGCGCTTCTCCCCCAAGCATACCGAACTGCCCCTCGCCCTCTCGTTCCATGGAACGACCTCTCATGATGTCCACGGCTTAGGTTTTGTCGGATTCTATCGTTCGGCTTACTGGGGCGTCATTCAGATGCAAGCCCGCTTTCTGGTTGAGCTCTGGACCAAGACTATGCTCCTGCCTCAACCGATGAGAAGCGCGCTGTCCACAGACGATTCGGTGCAGCGGACGCTGGAGCTGCGCGACGACCCGCGGCTTTCTCAGTTTCCCATGGGAGACTACCCTTGGCTTATGCAGGAATTTGCCGAGGCGCTCTCCATCGAGCCGGCTACGCCGTCGTTTGCGGGCGTACCCCTGCTGCCGCATAACAAGCAGCCGCTGGACATGCTAACACCGGCACGGTACACATCGTTGACAGACAGCGAGGAAGCCAAGGGCGAAGCGGCGAAGCTCATCAGAGATACCATCGATACCACAATTACCGGCCTTACTTCGCCCAGATTCGTGGCGCGCGCCGTGTTTCGCAGCCTGCTGGGCACGTGGAAGCTGGAACGCGACCTCGTGAGCCGGCTACCATCGCACCCGAGCGGCCACTTTAGCGGCACCGCGCAGTTTCTCCTGCGCGAGAGAACCTCGGATGGCATTCAGTGCGCCAAAGACGGCACGCCGGCATCATTGGGCAGCAGCGATGACGACAGCGACCAGGGCATGGAGTACCTGTACGTCGAGGATGGCGAGTTCAAGACAGACAGCGGATTCGGGTTCCGGGCGACGAGGCGGTACGTGTGGCGGTACGACGAGCGCAGCGACAAGTTGAGCGTGTGGTTTGCAAAGCCCGACGACCAGAAGCGCGCAGACTACCTCTTCCACGAGGTGGAGTTTGAGCAGTCGGAGCGAGGTGGGCGAGACGCCGACGGCTGGAAGGCCAAGGCAGGGCACCTCTGCATCGACGACTACTACGACGTCAAGTACAATTTCGCGTTTGAGGCGGTCAACCTGCGGGACTGGAGCATAGAGTACACGGTCAATGGGCCGAAAAAGGACTATACCATCAGGGGGACATATACGCGATAGGCTAGACGGCGCATGGGCGGCGGTTGTGATTTTTGGGTATCTGGGGTGGCAGGATAGATGAACCGTCTTCTTTGGCGCAGCATTCTGGGTGATGGCAGCGAATAGCATGAATAAAGCATTGTCTGGGCTGACAGCGCCAAGCGTGCGGTCTGTCACGCCAGGCATTGCAGGCAACGTGCATGTGCTCGTCGGCGGCGTTTGTGTTGGTGTCCGGTTGCGGCGGGTGCAACCCTTCCCCTCCGCCACCCCGGAACCTTTACTGCCTCCATCACCACCATCATCTGGACTTGGCTTTTTCAAAAATTTCCGAAACGTCCCATCCGGCACACTGCACCCCACGGCCCGAGGACGTTTGTTGCCTTTGTCAATTGAAGGAACCCCGCCGCGATTTCGAGCCTCAGTGACGTCATCATCATCATGAAGGTCGCCGTCTTCAGCGCCAAGCCGTACGACAAGCGTTTCTTCGACGCCGCGCTCGAGGAGAAGAAGCAGCAGGCGTCGGCGTCTGCGACGACGGGCAACATCGAGCTCATCTACCATGACTTTGCGCTGAGCGAGGACACGGTGTTCCTGGCGCAGGGGGCGGACGCGGTGTGCGTTTTCGTCAACGACGGCGTGCCGGCGGCGGTGGTGGAGGCGCTGGCCGACGAGGGCGTCAAGGCCATCCTGCTGCGGTGCGCGGGCTTCAACAACGTGGCGCTCGACGTGGCGGAGCGGCGCGGGCTGCTCGTCGCCAACGTGCCGAGCTACTCGCCCGAGGCGGTGGCCGAGTTCGCCGTCGCGCTGATCCAGACGCTGAACCGCAACACGCACCGCGCCTACAACCGCGTGCGCGAGGGCAACTTTGCGCTCGACGGCCTGCTGGGCCGCACGCTGCACGGCAAGACGGTGGGCATCGTCGGCACGGGCAAGATTGGCGTCGCGACGGGCCGCATCCTCAAGGGCTTCGGGTGCCGCGTCCTGGCGGCGGACCCGTACCCGAGCCCGGCGTTTGCCGACGTGGGCGAGTACCGCACCCTCGACGAGCTGCTGCCCGAGTGTGACATCGTGAGCCTGCACTGCCCGCTGATGGACGCGACGCGGCACATCATCAACGAGGCGACGCTGGCCAAGATGAAGCCACGCGCCATCCTTGTCAACACGTCGCGCGGGGCGCTGCTCGACACGCGCGCCGTCATCAAGGCCCTCAAGACGAAGCACCTCGGCGGCCTGGCCCTCGACGTGTACGAGGCCGAGGGCTCGCTCTTCTACGACGACCACTCGGGCGAGATCATCCAGGACGACGTGCTCATGCGCCTCATGACGTTCCCCAACGTCGTCGTCTGCGGCCACCAGGCCTTCTTCACCGAGGAGGCCCTCAAGGAGATTGCCGAGTGCACGCTGCGCAACCTCGACGAGTATGCCGAGAAGGGCACCTGCGCCAACTCGCTGACGGATTCCATCAAGAAGAAGGGCAAGGGCCCGTTGCCGGTTCGCAATGTCTGAGGGGAAACATGCAAAGTATGAAAGATGTTGACTATGAATTCATCATTTATGCTACGCTTTCGTCTTTTCTATGCAAAGCTCTATCGGGTATTATGTTGAGGCGTGTAACCTTGCCTCCGAAAAGAAATCTACCATGACCTCGAACTCGCCCACTTTATGCTTGAGAGCACGTAGATGGCTCTCTATATCGAGAGGATGTGTCTCCCCCTCTGTTTGTGTCTGTCTTGGATCGGCAGCCGCAAATATACGGCTCAGAACGTTAACTCGGCGTGAACGCTCAAGGGTTGCTGACGTAGCTCATGGCACGCCGCAAGTCGTCGTCGTGCTCCACGTCGTCCCTGATGACGCCGTGGCTCGGCCGACGGCTCCTCTTCCTGGCCATCTCAAGGTCGTCAGACCCCGACGAAGTCCCTGAGGCGGGCTCCTCGTCATCGCCGCCGTACGCGTACTTGCTGCGGGCACGAATGCGGGCGCCAAACTGCCAGAAGAGGAAGGGAATGGCGCAGCAAAGCAGACTAAGGAAGGCGAGGAAGGTCGACGCCCACTGGTCGCCCATGCGGTCGTACATCTGCTCGGTGAAGAGCACGACGCCGGCGCCCCAGAAGGAGCGGAGGAAGGTCTTTGCCGCGAGCGCCGACGCGGCCTGGTGCTGGTACGAGTCGACGAGGTAGTTGTTGGCCGAGTTGTAGAGGAAGATGAAGCCGAAGCCGACGGGGAAGCCGCCCATGGCGGGGCCCGCCCAGGACAGCTCCGGGTACGACGTCCAGGCGAAGATGAAGAGCCCGATGGGGATGAACCAGCACGAGAGCATCATGGGGATGAGGCGCACCTCGGCGGGCGGCTTGCCGTTGTGCTTGTGCACCATCTTGATGTAGTGCTTGTTGACGAGCGGGGAGCACACGGCGGAGCAGATGACGCCCACAGCGACGGGAATAAACATGAGGCCCGTCTTTCCCGAGGACCAGCCCTTGCCGCCCTGGTAGATGATGGGGAAGGCGACGAAGAACATGTACAGCAGGCCGTAGAGGACGCTCATGTACAGGCTGATGAGGAAGACGATGAGCTCGCCGAAGAGCAGCTGGAAGGGCCGGATGAGGAAGATGGCGAGCCGCTCCGAGAAGGGCCGCAGGTCGAGGTCCTGCTCCGTGACGTGCGTCGCGTCGCCCGTCGACTTGCGCAGCTTGCGCGCGCGCCGCGCGAGGATGGTGGGCGCGTACGTCTCCGGCACGGTGAAGGTGATGAGGATCCAGACGATTCCCGCGAGGATGAGCTGCAGCCAGTAGAGCCAGCGCCAGCCCGAGGCGTCGGAGAGGAAGCCGCCGACGAGGGGTCCGACTAGATTTTGCCACTTGTTAGTTTCTCGTTTCTCAAATATGTGTTTCCCACCAATTGGGGTATGAAACTCACTTGCAGGTCCGAGGAAGGGCGCGGCGGAGAAGGCGGCCATGGGCACGCCGCGCTCCTCATTGCGCCACAGGTCGGCCAGGGTGCCGCCCACGAGGGTCATGGGCGCGGAGAAGGCGATGCCGTCGATGGCGCGGCACACGAGCAGGGTGCCGATGTTCTTGGCCACGGCGCAGGGGACGATGAAGATGACGGCAATGAGCAGCGTCGAGCCACTGGATACCCTGTTAGCTTTCCGATCTCTTTTCTCAAAAATGTTTCTCTCTCTTGCTCTCTCCTCGGTAGACCTGGGGGAGAGCAAAGCTGCTGGACAGGGTCAGGGCAGGGCGCAAGGCACACTTACTAGATGATGCGCCGGCCGAGAATCTCCGACAGCGGCGCAAAAGCCATGGGCCCGACGCCAAAGCCCACGACGAAGAGTGAGATGCTCAGCAGGCTGACCTCCTCGCTGACTCCAAACTCGCGGCTCACGCCGGGGATGTCGGCCGTGACGACGGACGAGGCCAGCGCGACGACGAAGCACGTCGCCGCCACCACCATGGTGATGTACCACTTGAACGCCTTGGACCAGTTCTTGGGGTTCTCCGGGTCGTTGGGCTCAAACGCCACGAGGCGGTACTCTTGCAGCCGCTCGGGCTGTGCACCGGCGCCGGCGCCGTTGTTGCCGGCCGCATTGTTATTGTTGTTGGAGTTGTTGGCGTGGTGTCGGCTGATGCTGTTGCGCGTCGTCACTCGCGAGGGAGGCGCCAGTGTCGGAATCTCCCCGCCGGGGACCTCCCTCTTGTACTCGTCGAGGCGGGCGTCGCTCGTCAGCGTCCGGTACGGCAGGTCGATGTCGAGCTCCGGGTCGAAGCGCTCCTTGTGCGAGCTGTCGCGGGTGCTGGGGCGTTGCGCGTGCGTGTGAGTGTGCGTGTGCGTGCGTGTTCGGGACGAGGATGTCGAGTTGCTGTGCGAGGTGTGCGTCTCGTCCGCGTCGCGTGTAATCGGGGCAAACTGCGTGCCCTCGGGCGTCGAGTCCTTTTCATCCATGCTTGTGGCGTGCTGGTGGTCTGGTCTGGGTGTAAGTGGGAAAGACGGACCAAACTGATTCGAGCTGAACCAAAAGAGGAAGAACCAACTGGGGATGCTGGACAACAATCGCAGTCACATTTCTTCCCGTGAGCCAGCCACGGCATCTCATGGCCCTCTTATATATATATCCCGTCATTCACTTGCCTCGGCAATGGCGCTCACGACTCGCCCGGTCACCGCGCCCGGGCGTGGCCAAGGTCCGCCGGCCGGCTCCACTCTTCTAGCTTTCCCGGGGACTGGGCGTTTCTTTTTTCTTCCAGTGGGTGCCCAGTGCCCAACGGCAATAAAAACTTCAGAGGTGGCCCCCGGCAAAGCGAGAAAATCCAACCCTATCTGAGATAAGAGCCGCGGGTCGGCCATAAACCGGAGACAACAACGCTGGGCAAGGGGAAGACAAGCATGGGAGACGGTGTCCCCACTCGTCTTCCGTGTCCGCGGACCACCCAAGACCCCCTCCGGCGCTGGTCCCCACCTCTACGGCGGCGGACGCGGGTTGAAACGGGTGTGTGTGTGTCAAGTCCCCTGGACGACTCAGATCCCCAGAGGAGCTCGACTCGCCCCGCGTCATGAACTGCTAATGGGCGCCCACGCGAAGGGTCGTGGTTGTGGTTGTGGTTGTGGTTGCGATTGTCCTCAGCGCCTCAATCCCATTGGACTCGCAGTGCTGCCGTTTGGGGAACGAGATACAGGGCTGCGCTGCACTGTCACGTCACTGTGACCTCCCGAGGTCCACCGTTCGTTCGTTCACCTGCATCCCATATCACAAACGGCAGTTGCTCCAAGGTTTTCCCCTGCCCGTGTCCTTCCAACGTCCTCGTCAGGCATTCATGGGATAAGGTAGCAGTGATCCCCACAAGCTGTTCCCCACCCTGGCCGGTGCGGAATGTGTATTATGTAGTCTCGCGGGAATACTGTACGCAGTACGCACTCGCCCTGCAACCTCCGCCGGCCCCATCGAGGCTCTGCTCCGCGCTGCCCTACGCACTACGTACTCCTCTCCCACGTGCGAGATAATCAAGAACCGTGACGTCGACGCACAGCTCGCCCGCGATGCTCATCGAACCCTCTCACGAAACAAGCTCTGCCTCCGCAGAGCACTCATTCCCGACCCATCCGACCAACGCACAGCTGAAGCGCCGCATCACGCAGGCCCTCCCTCAGCCCAGCCCCTGCTCACCTTCACCCACGGCACCCGTTCTCGGAGCCACGCCAGAGCGCAAGTGACGAAGGAATTGCATCGCTAGCGCCCGTGACGCCGCCAAGTGCCAGCCGCAAAAGCGGACCCCGGGATGCCTCGCCCCCCTCTCGAGCAAGCAAAAACCCGCGGACGCCAACACTCACAGCTCTCTTCTCAGTGCGAAGCATCTGTACGGGCTGCAGAACTCTGCTGGCAGGGCT